CCCCAAAACCCCAAAACCCCAAAACCCCAAAACCCCATGAGAATTGTATTTAAAGCATAAATAGGTGATAATTTTAATAATTAAATGGATCTTTCATGAAATCAAAATAATGTTGACTCAACATAAGCGAGAATTAAGCATTTCATATAGCTATCAGATGGAATAAACTTGAAATATGGAGGTCTTGTTAATAGTTCCTCTTCAGAAATGGGGTCTTCTCTATAGAGTTTTTCTAATTCTTTTTGAACATCCAACTCTCTATATCCATATTTTGAGAAATATTGAACTTATTGTGTTTTCTTTTTGGTCATTCCATTGTTATTTTTAACTTTCTTTTAATTTGGCTTGAGGAAATTCCCATTCAGATCTGGAGGTGGTATCTCTTCATCATTTGCAACTACATTTAATTTTTTAACTTTGATGGGAGTCTTAGTTAAAAATCTCTGAGTATTAGACCAGATATCCATCATTGTCCTCGATTGGACTTGCTTCATCTATTTAGGTGTGTTGACAATTTCACCCATTATTTAATTTCCAGTTCTCATTATAAAATCTAGCTCATTGTAAGATTTGATCACATCTCTCCAATTGAAGTATATCTAATCATAATATGATTTAGCATATTTATAGAATTTTGTGACTTCACGCTTTTTGCTTTCCTCTCCTAATAGTTTCATAAACTTGAACAGATTTTAAGAATATGAATCTTTATCACAAGGATCATTTAGATATTCATTTTTTATTTCATTCAAACAAACATCCCACCTTTCAGAGATTAATTTCATTTTCTCGGCATCTCTCTTTAGGACTGTTCTAATCTATTTTTAAATGACTAGAATCTGCTTCATAAATTTTCTAAATACACCTAGAACATTTTATCTGTTCATGTTATTGTAAAGGAATCTATAGATAAATCTATTTGATCTTTATTCAATATTTGAGTTTATAATTACAACTTGCTGGGTAAATACACTAAAAATTAAGGTAAATATTGATATTTAAAGTTACTTTTTTACTGTAATTTGGATTCGACTCTTGAGATGATGATTTTTATGCCTCTTTAGGTATCTTTTATAACGACAAGCAATCAAGCAAGCCGAAGATTTTAATAAGTAATACTATTCTCTAGCTGCTTTTTAAATCTGATATTCATTGTTTCCTACTATCATGATTTATTTTAATAGCATTAATGTCAACCATTATTTGCATTAATTCCTAGCCTTCTTAATCTGAGTTGCATCCTTACTCGCCTTTTCTTTCTAAAATCACTTAATTAAAGTAAATCTTACATATTCTTTTAAAATTTCTTGTTTATTTAACAGAAATATATTTTTCTTGAACAAATCTTCCTCATTCTACACTTTCTTTTGCTGTGCAAGTTCAAACTTAAAGTTATTCATTGTCATATTTGGTGGTTTTGACTAGATAAATTTATTCAGTATCTAAGATATTTTGCTTGTCCTTTATTTCTTCGTCTCCTTAATCTATTCAATTTTTTTCTTTTTTATTTCATCTGCTTCTTGCTACAACTGCTTACATTCATAGCTATCATTCAATATATCCTTTATTCTATTGTAGTATTTATACTTCTTGGCTCTATATGCCTCTAACTCAGATTCATTTACATCTCTATTATTTTCATCAAATCCTCCCATTGTGTTCACAAAACTTGCTGTTTTTTAAATATGAGGTTTTTCTCTGTTAAAGAAAAGATAGACTTATAGTGATATCGATTAGTTTGAGGAGAATGTAAAATAGATGTAATTGTTGTTGAAATAAACCTCATGTCTTTCCTGAATCTGAAATTTGCTAGCCTATAAAATATTAATTTTCTCAAAAAATATACATTAGAAAGATCACCGTTGCAATTGTCAAAAGTAGGCATACTTTCATACTTAGACCATACTGCTTAGAAATTATCGTTCGGTCTTTGCTTAAATATCATAATATTCAGGGGTGCTGCTTTTTGGTGCACAAATATTTTGCAGTAAATGGGTTCATTTGCTCTAATTTGCAACTTATTGCAGTTTAAATGATGAAAATTAACAAATTATTCCTTTTTAACCATTAATCTCGACAGCTAACCCTGAACTTTTCTCATCTCATCTTTTGTATTTTACATTAAATTATCCTAAAAAGTAGTGAATGATGGTCTCTCTGTATTATTTTTATCTAGATGTTTATGCTATAACAACATAGCTGATGGTATCTCATGAGGAATTTCTTTTTCCTCAAGTGCTTATTTTCGCTGAATGATATTCATCTTAAGTTACAGGAAATCGTTCTCACTAGCAGTGAATTTACTCAATTCTTGCTTACTTCTTGATGACGATAAAAGTTTTTCTAAAGATTTCATCTAATTATGATTTTTAAAGAGCAGATTTTAGGTTTAAGTAAATATACCTCCCTAACTCTCAATCACATTTGGATCAGATTTCATGTTGTGCAGCTTTATATTTCTAGATGTCATAGTTTTCTTCCTCTAAGCCATACTTGTCTTAGATTATCTATCATAAATGACTGGAGAAGTCTCATGATCTATTTGAACTCTTTCATTAGAGAATTCTTGTCTATTTTATGATTTTTTCTTACTATTTCTACTCTAGCTTGAAGGCTTTCCTTCCCTATTATCAGCATTAATAACCCCTCTTTAAATTTACTAGTTTAGACTTTCTCTTTTTCCTACACCTTGTCCTTCTTTTACATGTTTTAAATAATCTCCTGCAACTAAATAACCTCTTTTTGTGTGCTACTAAGTGTTCATGCTCGATCGAACTAAGTCTACCTAAGATCTATTTTATGTTGATTTTACAAATTAAAAGCCAGACTAAGTAGATTAGGCTGTTTTATATGCTTGACTAGCTTGAGAGTAAGTATTTAAATTCAAGCTCTATCTGCTTTAGCCAGTCTTCAATGATGTAAAATTATCCATTGCGCTTGATGAAATTATAGTTCACATTGTTTGTTATTGCTTGACCCCACTCTTTAAACTCTTTGGACTTAAAAATGCATCGGATATCTTCGACTTATTTCTCGTCTCTGATTAGCCTATTTGAGTTAAAATAATTTTTAACGTAGAATAATTATACCTTTTAAGGTGAGTAACTACGGTGTGTCTGCTTATCTATTGTCATGAAATCCCAAAGCAGAATTTGATCCAGATTACTTATATTTCTATGAAATTGATCCCCGAGTTTGGATTTGTTTCCTTTTATCCATAAATCCTTAGGATGATGTCTCTATTTGCAAAGTTTAAAGCATGCTTTGAATGTTTGATTGAGGAGCTTTCATTAAAATGTCAATCAATATATTATGAAGAATTTTTTATTATATAATTTTACCTGTACATATTTTTTAATTTTATATTGATTGATAGTAAGTAAATCTATCTCTAGGGGTTTTGGGGTTTTGGGG